AGAAAAAAGAGGACATGTATTCGGAAACTCTACCGGGGACGCTGAGTTGAGGCATCTCCCATCTAGTAACTAGAGACATTAATCAAGTCCAAGCAGTGCTTGAACTTGTCTGTAGTAACAGGCTTTGTCAACATGTCTGCTGCATTCTCAGAAGTGTGAACTTTCTCAAGTAATAGTTCACTAGAAGAAACCAGTTCCCTGATCTTATGAAACCTCACATCTATATTTTTGGTCCTCGCATGATACACTTGGTTCTTTGCCAAATAAATGGCACTCTGACTGTCACAATGCAATTGAACTCCACCTTGCTGGGCACCCAGCTCCTTGACTAAACCTGTAAGCCACAAAGCCTCTTTGGCAGCCTCAGCTACTGCCATATACTCTGACTTAGTAGTAGATAGTGCAATTATAGGCTGTACCATGGACTTCCAACAAATAGGTCCTCCCACAAGAGTAAACACATAACCTGTGGTAGACCTCCTGTCATCCAAGTCCCCTGCATAGTCTGCATCCACATATCCCATAACTGAAGGGTCACTCTGTTGTCTGCTAAACCTGATGCCATAGTCTGTAGTGCCCCTCAAGTATCTGAAAATCCACTTGACTGCATCCCAATGCTGTCGACCCGGATTTAAAAGAAACTTGCTAACCATGCTGACAGCTTGTGCCAAATCTTATCTTGTACAAACCATAGCATACATCAAACACCCCACTGCACTAGCATATAGGACCTTTGACATGTCATGAACTTCATCATCTGTCTTCGGACACTGAGCGGTAGACAATCTGAAATGATTCGCCAAAGGTGTACTTACTAATTTTACATAACTCATGCTGAACCTGTCCAACACCTTCTCAACATAGCTATGCTGAGATAGCCATAATCTCCTGGAAGCTCTGTCCCTGCGAATCTTCATCCCAAGAATCTTCTTGGCCGCACCCAAATCCTTCATGTCAAATTCTCTACTCAACAAAGTCTTCAACTTGTTGACCTCACTCATATTCTTGGCAGCAATCAACATATCATCCACATAAAGTAACAAAAAAAAAAATGAATCATCATCAAGCCTTTTTACATAGACACAGCAATCATACTCACACCTTGTGTAGCCAATTCGGATCATGTAAGAGTCAAATCGTTTGTACCACTGCCTCGGAGACTGCTTCAGCCCATAAAGTGATTTCTTCAAATTACAGACCAAATGTTCCTCTCCAGGGAGACTGAACCCTTCTGGCTGTACCATGTAAATCCGTTCCTCCAAGTCGCCATGAAGGAAAGCTGTCTTTACATCCATCTGCTCCAACTGCATATCTGAATGTGCTACTAATGCCAACACTGTCTTGATGGAAGTGTGTCTGACCACGGAGGAGAAGATCCCATCATAGTCAACCCCTTTTCTCTGTGAGTAACCCTTTGCTACTAGATGAGCCTTGAATTTGTCTCCCTCATTTTCTGATACTGCTTCTTTCTTCTTATACACCCATTTGCACCCTATTGCTCTCTTCCCCTCGGGAAGTTCCACCAACTCCCACGTCTGGTTCTTATACAGAGACTCCATCTCCTCCACCATAGCACCCATCCATCTACTTTTCTCTTGGCTTTGTACTACCTCCTGAAAAGTTGTAGGATCCCCGCTACTAGTAATAAGCGCATAAGAAACCAAATCTTCAAAACCATACCTGGTAGGTGGCTTGATATTGCGTTTGGGCTTGTCCGTGGCTATACTATGATGCTATTGATCACCTGAGATAGAACGCTCTACATGCTGAGCATCATCTTCTCTACCATGATTCTCTAGCTCCACCTGCACCACATAGTCATTAGTGTTATAGTTTTCTGGTACTTGTTTCTCTTCTTCCTGAGTACGCTGCAACATGGCTTTTTCATCAAAAACCACATCTCTACTGATCACCATCTTGTTTGCCTTCGGATCCCAAAGCTTGAAGCCTTTCACTCCTTTCTGATATCCCAGAAGGATACACTGTCTAGACTTCGCATCAAGCTTCGACCTCTCCTCACTAGAAACATGTACATAGGCTGGACATCCAAACACTCTCAAACCAGAGTAGTCTACCTCACTGCCTGTCCACACCTCCTCTGATACTTTCCCATCTAGTGCTGCCCTCGGTGATCTGTTAATCAAGAAACATGGCATATTCATTGCCTCTGCCCGAAAATTCTTTGCAAGCCCTGCATTCAACCTGAGACACCGAGCTTTCTCTGCTATCGTTCTGTTCATCCTTTCCGCTACACCATTTTGTTGTGGTGTCTTGCGGACTGTGAAGTGTCTCTTGATCCCAAGCTGCTCACACAACTCCTGGAACTTTGAATCTGTGTACTCAGTACCATTATCTGACCTGAGGCATTTAATCTTCCTCCCTATCTGGTTCTTTACTTCAGTTTTCCACAGCTTGAACTTGGCAAACGCTTCTGACTTGTGCAGCATGAAGTACACCCAGACCTTTCGTGAGTAATCATCAATGAAACTCACGAAATACATGTATCCTCCCCGTGATAGTACGCTAACTGGTCCCCAAACATCTGTATGGACATAGTCGAGAACCCTCTCTGTCTTGTGTCCACTCTGCTACGCTCCGCCCGCTCCGGCATCTGCCTCCTTGCCATTATGCACACAGCAAATATGAGCCACACATACTCTAACAAATTCCCAAAGAAAGCATATCATATGTTGGGACGGGACATATGGTTTCTGAGTATATTTGGCTATATGTTTCCTTGTGGTAACAATTATCAACAAAATCATATACACTTAGTTGTGCCACCATAAAAGCTTTACGTATATGCTCACATGGGAGTCCAATTGCCTCCCATTTACCATATCCATATGATTTCCTTACCAAATTAACATCAAAGTTACCTTGTTTCTCTTGAAACTCAAACAAACCTTTTGTAAAACATGGCATGATTTCCATCCTCTCTCATATAGTGATATTTGAAGCTAAAATGTTATCACTTATTTTTCCAAGTAGTAGCTTCCATGAGATCGCTTCAATCTTTCTCTTGTACATATGCTTTGTTAGTTTCTTGTGAGTCTTCTCAGTAATCTCCATGATTGGCAATGCTCTCTTTTAGAACCCATCCATTACACGCTTTCGCAACATTCAAATATAATTTACCATATCTTCTCTTTGGAAATTGGGAGTTAGCCCAAAGCTTAGAGTCACTTTTCACTATCCAATCATGGACATCTTGACACAAATTGATTCAATCGGGACAAAGCATTTTCATACACATCAACATTGTATGCATAGGCAATTGCATCCAAAAGGCTCTCAAGTGTTCTTTTTCAAGCACTATACAAATGAAATTGTCCTAAATACTTGAAAAACAATTATCTTCAATAGCAATAAAAAGTTAGCATGGATATCACTAGAATATACCTGTTTAACTGCAGAAAATAGTGCTTTGATTCTTGTCGGAGATGATAACAATTTCTTTATCGTCGTTCAAATGCTTGCTTCAATTGCTCAAGCAACCAAAGTCAATTCTCAATTGATTCTCATTTTAAAATCGCAAACACCACCGAGTACATCCCATCATTTCAATCCAAAGCGGTTGTTGCAAGCATTAAACCATGAAAGAAGTCCTTTGAAAACAGTGTCATCAATGAACAATTATGGTCAACATCTGGACGAAATCCATGTAGACAAGCATGGCATGCAATGAAAGCTGATGAAATCGTTGTTCTTCATTTTTTATACAATGCATCAATGCCACAATGTGAATTCTCTAAGCGCTCACACATCCATGGAACAAGTTTGTAGGAATCTTTAGTTGCCCTATCATTAAATTCCTTTGTTTTTCCTTTCCTCACGAAGCTTGTTGGTAACTAATATTCATACCATAATCACATGAAAAATCTGAAACAATTTGTGTTGGCAAATAAGTTGTGTTGTTATTAATTTTTTCTTAAACAATTCTCCCAATAAATTTTGTTGGAAGAAAATTTTTCATTCACATTTGGTCTTGAGCAGTATGTTCAAGTTCTTGTACAAATTTCATCACCATATAAATTCCCAATGTACCAACCTGCCCAACCCTTATTTTCCAACAACAAGCTATCACAACACATCTAACCCCTATATAGGAAATGTCATTTGTAACCTACTAAAGAATAATCGATAGGTCAATGAAAACTTATGCAATGCATCCCAAAAAAGCATCGACACTATCAAACAATTGCCCTTCTCCTTGTATCACTAACTCCCATAACTTTGAGAACATTGGCAAAACTAGGGCAATACTTTGGCATGCATTTGCGGCATTGGTCATTGGTGTTTGGCTACTAGAGTACCTAGAAATCAAACAGTTATGGCCTTGCAACTTCATTGCACATAGAAAAAAAATATAACTCTAAAATGCAACAATAAATTTCACTTGCCTTGATCGCTTGTGCTTGGATTTCGCAGGGTCACATTCTTCAAATTCATAGACATCTACAATTCCCCTCATTGAGTGCAAGCAAGTTGTTTAGAGAATCTTGTCCATCCAAAGGCACAACCGAGTTTTATCAGTTTGAATATTAGCTCAAATTAATATACAAAATAGCAAGTACCTCATATACCCTCTAAAAAATTGATTGTATATCGTATTTTGAACAAAAGAAAAACCATTAATCAAACTTCCGTCACACTTGACAAATATAGCATCATAAACTCTAATCTCACCTCCAATATGACAATAGAAAATTACACCTTTATCAAAATAAAACTCTGTTTATAAATCCCAGCCTAGTACTATAACAAAAAAACTACGTTAGCAATAAAAAAGAACAACAAATTATGAAGGACAATACCATACTCGGGAATCAAAATGACAAAGAACCTTTGTGAATAGAACCACAACCAAGGTGTTCAAATAAGTGTTCACCTATAGGACGTACAATAAATTCATCGAAACATCATGCTGTTAATGTTATCTTAAGAGTGCTAGTAATCCCTGATTCGAGAATAATAAAAGGTATTGCAAGAGAAGATCACTATATGTAGATTTTACTCAAGAAATTATCATCTTCATTATATAACCTCTCTATTGGCTCTTCACACAGTATATTGTCAACGTTAAAACGTTCTAATTGCATCATATCGTCCCTTTCCAATGAGGGCAATACATCAACATCCATTACATCAAAAACCTCATGAGATACATCTTCTTGGTAAGGTTTTTCATCAAAAACTAATTGTTCCTCTAACTATTCAGGAACATCAAAAGACCCATGAGGTTGAATCCTCTCCACAACACGCCAATTATTGCCCAACATTAAATCTTCGATATAAAATCTTGTTTTGTTGCGATGCTAGCACAAATGGTTGGTCAACGCACCATTTTTGCACTATTTTTACACTGGTGACTTTCCAATCCTTATCTCTTTGGAATACTACATTATCCTTCACTTCCCACCAATCATATTTGGACAACAAAACCTTCTTTTGTCCAAGTAAATATTCTAACTCAATAATATAGGTGATCACACCATAGAAGTCTATCATTGTTTGATCATGCTCTCCCTCCTTTGTTTTCCTTTTCTTCTCACGATCTCAAGTATAGAACCTAAGTCCATTCACGTTGCAACATGTGTACTGTTTCACGCGTTTGTTAGGACCCTTGGCTAATGATAAGAGTTCTTTGTTGGCATTCCCTTTATTGTACAACTATTTAACTTATTATTCCAAACCATTGAAATCAATATAACCGTAGCCAAGGAATCAAATTTACACAAGCATGATAATAACACTTGGCAGGATATCATAATATGCTTACACATTGCTCAAACCATTTAGAAATTTGGGAGTCATGCCTTTTATTTACATTCCTCATATTCTCAGCCTTCAGTTTTTCCTCGTGCTCGCTATAAATAAGATGTATATCATTATGATCCCAATTAACTTGTACGATGGATGATTATAAGGACATAATTAATAAAAGAACAAATACAAGCATTTAGAAAAATAAACTTACCTTACATAGATTCCAATCTCCTCACAGTTATTCATCACATAAATACGAGCTTTCTTCTACTCAACGTTGTTCAACTCACCATAAATGAATGAATGGCCATTAAATGCAAATATAGACAACTCCCCGACTTTTTACCTTCGTCGTAGTTTCGTTCGGGTCGATTGAATCTTGTATCAATATTAAGTAGGTGCATAGAACAAAACGTCAAACATTCGTTGTCAATGTAATGTTTAGCAATTGACCCTTCTAGTCGAGGCTTATTATGTACATAGACCTTTAGTTTTTTCCTTTGTCTATTGATATACATAATCAAACAATTAAAGCATTAATGACATTAAATTGACTAGTTCTTAATTAATCACTTCATTAATTAGTCATACAACGTCTTTTGAACAAAAACATCCACTGATATTGCGCTAATCCAGCAATCTTGGCTTCTGTAACTAGGTGAACCATTAGATGCACCATTACATCGAAGAATGCTTGAGGAAATATTCATTCAAGTGTGCATAGTATCAAAACAATTTACCTTTCAAGTTTATCCAATGCATCCAAATACAGTGTTCTAGAACATAACTGCTTGAAGAAATTACAGAGCTCAACTAATGGCTGGCACACTTACTTATTTAAGAAGCCAGACAATGCCACTAAGAGTATATGTTGTAGGAAAATGTGACAGTTGTGTCTCTTCATTCCTGAAATACAACACTCCTAGGTCTTCACACAATGAGAAATATTTGAAGCAAAACTGTCTAGAAACTTAATTGATCTCAATAATTCACAAATTCTTCTCTTCTCTTCATGCGAAAAGTGATAACATGCAAAAGGAATAAGAACTTTATCAACTTCAAAACGCAGATGTAATTCAAGCCTTAAGCCCATGGCCATCAAATCCTAGCGAGCCTTCCAGTTATCCTTAGTTTTTCCATCAATGTTCATTAATAGCCCAAGCAAATTATCACATACGTTCATTCATATGTGCATGATATCGAGATTGTGTCGTAGTATAAGGGTTTTCCAATACGACAATTCAAAGACAATGCTCGTCTTTGTCCAATTTAAATCATTGCCCTAACTCTTTCTCTTCTTTTTCTTTTGGATAGGTTCAGGTGTCTTACCAAACTCAAGTGGTTCAATAGTATTCAAATATTCCAATATGCAATCCCTATCTAGACAAGTTAGCATAAGCAGTGAAGTCATTTATAGTCCATATCACCATTGCACACAAGCAAAACATTTGTTTGGTGTAAGCATCATATGTCTCAATGCCAATGTTCCCACAATGCCTTTAATTCATCAACCAATGGTCGTAGAAATATATCGATGTCATTTCCTAGAGAAATTGGTCCAAGAATAATCATAGATATCATAAGAAAGGGATCCTTCATACATCTCCATGGAGGCAAATTGTATGGCATAAGAAATAAGGGGCAAATGTTGTAAGCATTACTCATGTTGTCAAACAAATTAAAGTCATCACTTGGTACACCTAGCCTAATATTGCAAGGATCCTAGGCAAATAATTCATACTTCTTCTCAAAAACTTTCTAGGCATTTGAATCATTCGAATGTCTCAAAACATTATATTCATTAACACGCGTATCTTTATTCCACCTCATATCATGAGAAATATTTTTATTTAGGGTTAATTATAATTTTTTCCCTCAAATTTTACCTCTTGTTGTAATCAGCCCCCTATGGTTTTAAATACTATAATTTGCCCCTTCCAAGTTTCAAGTAGACTAAATTGACTGACAAAAGTGGTTGGAACTTAAAAATACCATTACATCACCCATCGTGTACATTATTTCTCATTTTTTTGCCTGAGATACCAACCGAAAAAGAAATATATTAATCAATTATGATTCTTTCTTTTTCTCTTGGTTCTTTTACGATCAAGGTGTATAGATCCATGGATCTCTGTGTCTATATAGATCCTGTTTATGGATTAACAAACATGTACAAAAGTTCTATTTGCCTCTGTCATTCTACGAGTCTCTTCCTTTTTGCGCATGACATCGCCATGCCTTTTGGCAGCATCCACTAATTCGGAACTTAATTTGAAAGCCATATTTTGACACAGATGTTTTTGGAATGCCGCTAATAACCAACGAATGGCAAGTGTTTTTCCTTGTATGGATTCTATTTCAATGGGAACATGATGAGTTGATCCGCCTGCACATCTTGCTTTTATTGCTATATTGGGAGTTATATCACGTATTGCATAACGTAAAAGTACATATAGTGGATTTGTTTCTTTCTTTTGTTAAATCTTTCTCACGGCTCGATAAACAATTTGATAAGCCAACGATTTGTTTTCCATGTTTCAAAGTACGGTTAACCAACATCTTAACTATTCGATTCTATCCCCAAATATAAGGAAATAAAAAATTCAAGGAAAAAATGCATATGTTCAGCTCAATAGTCAATACCAACACATTGCATAACACCATGTTTGCCTTCACTTTCGCCTCTACCTTCACCCAACACTAACACGTGAGCACACATATACACATTCTTTTCAGAAGTAGTTGTATATTTTTAACAAAGTAGAAATCACATAAATTTCTTAGGTCTACCTTACGTCATTTTTTATGGTTTAAAATTAACTGTTGGAGTTAATCACAAAATATTCAAACTTAAAAAGGGCTATTTGTTAAAATTAAAACTTGAAGGGATGAAGACAAACTTTAATCTCTTTAGTCTCGGCCTTCATGAGAAGTAACACAAGACCTCTTGAGGTATCTTTTTGGATCTTTCAAACTTTAATCTTGACTTTTTATATTTTGGACAATTATCTAAATCCTTATATTCCTTCACACAACCCGGACGATTATCTAAATTGTTATATTCCTTCATGAACACCCTGGCTAACCGATTCTTCTCCACCATCCCAATTGTTCCCAAAATGTCTAGTGGCAATATCATATATCATTCCATGCATGTAATCATAGTCGTTATCTTTTTAGTCGTTTTCCGCAGCATTATTAATATAATCAGAATTGTTTGCAAACGCTTTACCATGATATATCACCTAACAAACCCTTAAGTATCCCGTTAATCAACAAATGACCTTTAACTAACTTCTCGAGTTTGGTTGTAGAAATTGTTACACTTGATACAAGGACGTGGGATCTTATTATGGAGCTCTTGATGGGCACACAAACCGAAGGAAGTCTTTCACTCCTATTTGGTAAGTATGGTGCAATCTATTCTTTAATTGGATGCAACTCCTATCCATGTATGTGGTCCTGCCCCAACATTTTCAACATGCAAGAGTATATTGTTTGGTACATATGAAAAGCATACACATGTCAATCCTCAACAATACCATTCAGATGCACGGAAATATTCATGATAAGCATTACAATTAACCAGGATATTCTTGTCACATACATACGTGACCAAATTAAATCTAAAATTAAATTTTTTTGATTTTAGTACTTTTTAATAACATCTCTAACCATGATTCAAATTTAAATTAACATTTGAGTAAAAAGTTTGATTTGATATAAAGGACTCCAATGGATAAACTCAAGTTTAAAAAAGAGACACCCAAATTTAAATGAGAGCAAACCTAAATTTAAAAGGGAATAAGGATGATCAGTGGATCTTTCAAAAATGATAAAATCTCACAATTAAATATTTGAGTAAAGATTTGAGTTTTCCTTAATTTGAGTAATAAATGAGTTTCCCTTAATTTTGTATAAGTTTGAATCAAGAGTCGAAGCAAAGTATTTTAGACTTTTTTACTCAAATTTAAATTTGAGTAAAATTTGGAGATGCCCTAAGGTAAGATAATTAAAATTACTTAATTTTAGTTGTCAAATTTCAAAAGTTATTAAAAAATTTGAAACATATCCCCAAAAAAAGGAGAGGATTTATTATGAGTTTTAATTTTCTTAAATTTTAGGTTTTGTTTTATTAGAACTAGTATATATGGGGTTTTTTTTCTAAAATCTTTTTCAAGAAACTTATTTATTAAAAAAAGGTATTCAAGTCTTTCTATGTCTTGAGTGGATTTTTTTACAAAAATATTTTTTTTTATATATTTTTTAACAATTAAGTTCAATTTCGTGTTCCGACTTCCGAGATCCCATTTTTCTTCTTTTTAAATTGAAATTAGTACTCTTGCTGGTCATCTTTTGACTAGACCGATGGGCTTTCTTTTTTTTTAAACTGAAATTAGGACTCCTATAGGTCATCTTTTGACTAGACCGATGGGCTTTTTTG